AAGTTGGTAACAAAGCTGAAAGAGCTTGAGTTTTCGGAAGATTGTAAAATCCTTGACGTTGGTGCCGGAACTGGGCTGGTCGGAGAGGAGCTTTGTAAGAGGAAATTTACCAACCTTGATGCCCTAGATGCGTCAGACGCCCTTCTCAAAGAAGCCGACAAGAAAGGGGTTTACAAGAACTTCTTTGTTGATGTCCTGGGTCCTAATAGACGGATACAGTTTTGCGATGACTGCTATGACGTAGCTATTGCCGTTGGAGTGTTTACTCGAAACCACGTGAAGGCGGAAGGCGCCATGGATGAAATGGCACGAGTTGTCAGGCCAGGCGGATTGGTCAGCTTCACGATAAGAGAGGACGTGATGTTTGAAGAAGAATATGGTTACGAAGCAAAAATGGAGCAGCTGTGTCGAGAGGAAGTCTGGAAACTTGTGTCTAAGAGTGAGGAAGATTATCACAGCAAAACCGACATCAGGAAATGCTACTTTTACATTTATCAAGTTTTGTAGTTTTGTAATCAGACTAAACAAGTTTCAGCCAAGGGCAAGTAGTAGTAGTTATTACTAGGTTTCTTCATTATTCAATTATTTATTCAGCCAGGTAAGATTTCCTTACACCTCTATACTTTATTATGCACAGAGTTCTTGGATAAGAAAAATTATTGAAAAAATTTTTAGACGCTCGTGAACTTTTGCTAGAAAGTAAGCCTTTGTCTTTCTGAAATACAGAATGTGGTAGGTCTTAAAAGTTTTCGCCTCAAGGCGAGACTTGAAAAACAGGTAGCTTTTATCTTGAGGGACTCAAACGTGGCAGTCAAGTGAGATAAGACTTTTTGTCTGGACAAGGTGCTACACATAAGATTCCCATATTCGATAAGTTCTCGGTTTTGGGTTAAAATGTACAATTGTAGGTTGCTTAGGGGTAGATTGAGGCACTGACTATCAAATTTTGAGCCGAACTTTTTTTGATGTAATCAATTCTCATTCATTCATTGTTTCCATTTTGTGGAGTTTCCAAGCTGCACTGCAGCAAAGTTCACGATTAAATCTGTTCTACAGTCCATTACAAATGAAACTGTTTCTCGGGTGTTTAAATTGGCTGTTGGTGATGTATGGTCAATTTAAGTGACATTTGTTCGCTGTTTTAGAGAGTATGGTATTCATCAAAGAGGTCCTTCTTGTCTTTGAAGCGCGGGGCAGAAGGAATATTCTTACTAGTCCCTCATCCAGCTTCATAGGAGAAGTAGGGCAGTTGTCTTTTAAGCAAAAACAGGCATAATTTGCTAATGGGGCTGCCGTTCTTAGGCATCGTAAAATTTGGTATTTACACTTTTTTCTTTTCCAGAGGACAATCAGGAAATGTACGACGTTTTAAAATACACACGTGGAGCTCTTTCACCCAGCTTCACATTAGATGTTTTGTTTCGCCACGTAATCGATGCTAACGTTTAATACTGTCTACCAGACGGGTTCAAAAAGTGGCGTAAGTTCGTTCATTATGGGCTTTTACAATTTTAGATGTGTATTTTTAATAATGGGCACAACCAAAATATCGATTTTACGTTTCAGTTCATTTTATAGCCGTCCATTTAGAGAGGAAGTGATTGAAAGCTGGTGAAGTTGGAAGAAAAGACTAAACTAAATTTTTTAGCGAGATGAGGGGGAGTAGAA